AAAGTGATATTCAGATCGGGTCAATTTTGGACAGATACTTGACAAACTTTTAAATAAATCGGATGTACAACAAATATTGTACATCTGTTATCCTAAATTGAGCCAAAGTTACCCTAGTATGAATAACAGTTACCCTAACATAAATAAAAGTTACGAAGTATTTATTCATTATTGATAAAAGTTACCCAAAAAATTTTAAAATTGACCCTAAATTTTATAAAAGTGACCCTTGCTGTACTGTAAATTATTGTACACTGAATGTATACATAAGTTATTCTAGATACTTTAAGATAAATTCAAATTAGTCAATTAGTAATTATATTACGTCACATTTACAAGGATGAACGACGCACCATGCCACTAAAAAACTACATCATGTCAATAGTTGTACTTTAGCTTAACCAGGTCAAATAAAGCTCGGGTAATTAGGTTCGTGTAGTTTTGCCTATCTAGATTAATAGATTATGTTTGGGTTTTACGCTATTAATCACTCATCTTTTATGAATTATTTGAAGGGAAAACATATTCATGTAAAAATTTGTTATGAGCCTATCAATAAGCTAATTACGTCCTTTCATATAGTTAAATTTGAACCCCCTTTGTGTTTAAATAAATGAAAATTTTTAATTTTCACGGAATTTTAGGAAGGTTAGTTAAATTAATTAAAAAGTAGATAGATAGTATATTATTTCAAAATTAAAAGAGAAAATTTATTAAATTAAGAAAATGTTTCATTTATTTGAACATATATAGCCAGAGAATAATTTTTACTTATAGATTATAATAACAGTTATTGATGGTTAAAGTTCTCGTTTGTCATACGTGAAGAATGAAATAAATCAGCTGACATTATAGAGTTTGAATTAATGTCTTTCATTGAGTTATTAAAATATTATTAATTGACTTTAAAGTGAACTTTGGCAATCAATCTCTAAGACATAGTACAAGTCATGTAACAACACAAAACATTGCTATAAAGTCGATCAGTAATGAATAATATTATGATTCTTTCTTACAACTAAGATTTGAATATTTGATGAGGTTATTACATATGTATATATATTCTTTAATTTGTTTAACAAAGGCTTAAATAACCATTTAACTAAGAAAGAGTCAAAGAGTAACTTAAAAAATTAATGGACCCATAAAAACTTACTAACAACATTATCAAAGTAATTAGTTTATTGTTATAAGATGTTTTAACAACCATGTTTCAATTATTTTAATCAAGTACGACTCATAAAAGGGTTTTCAATTGAAGGTAAACTATCTCGAATTAAAAGTTGATACGATTAGAGTAAACCTAGTAATGCTACATAATATTTTAGTCTTTGGCTATCGCAACTTATTACGTCATATGCAGTTTTTCAACTATATGCTCATATTTACTACTCAATTATATCATTTATGTTTTACACATCCACCCAACTAAACTATTTTAATAAACTATGTTAGATCCCGTGCTATGCACGGTTTTTCAATCTTTGTCACGGAGTATCAATTTAATTTTTTTTTTAATTTTATCTTAAATCAAGCTACTTAATTTTTTTATTTTTTTATCTTTGTTGAATTCATATCATATTGCTTTCTTCTATTTTGAACCTTGATAGCATTTTTTTTTCAATTAATGATAATTTTTCATTCACCAACTATGTTAAGTTGAAAGATATATATTCATGATATGTTTTTACTATAAATAGTATACATCAAAAAGTAATTACTAATATAAGAATTTATTTATACAAAGATATGGTTAGGTATTTAAGTTTATAAATGTACTATTCTACAATTTTTTTTTCCTAAACTTTGGAAGTAAATATTTTACGTATATTTTTATCAATTTTATAAAAGTTTTTTTTTTTTAAAAAAAAAAAAAATACTAAGGACACATCAGAAGATGACACGTGTCATTGCTGGTGTGTCTTTTAGTGTATTGTTATTGATTTATATTACTTGAATCAAATTTTCCAAATTCATATGCTTGTCTTATCATTGTAGTGCAATTTTACAACTACATATATATATATATATATATATATATATATATATATATATAGAGAGAGAGAGAGAGAGAGAGAGAGTATGGATCATGTGAAAACAAATGTTAGGGTGAAAACTGAAAACGATTCATCCTAGCCGTAGATTATAATCTAGCGGATGACATCTAACGTTTATATACTAATTTTCTCTCTCCTCCCACGAAACAATTTCTCTCTCCTCCGTTATTTTCTTCCTCCTCTCTCCTGCTTTCTCTCTCCTAATTTCTCGACATTTTTTTCCCCAATTTTCACGCTACTTTTTTCAAATTCAGCTTCAATTACTTTGATTTCAGCAATTTTTCAGCTCTACGATCTATTATCAGGTGAGTTCTTTGTGTTAATTTCGCTATTTTTTGCATGATTTGAGGTTTTAAGGTTTCTGAAATTTTCATCAATTTTGTTAGATTTTGTTTGATTTTGCGATTTTCTGTTCGATTTTGTTCAATTTAGTTCGATTTCCTGTTTTACTAATCGATTAAATTTAGTTTCTTCCTTAATTTCATTGATTTGTTCGGTTCAGTTGAGTTTTTCCACCATTGTTAACTAATTTGAAGTTCAACTTGTTGATTTGATTGATTTTTGCAGTGGAAGAAGAAGCGTTTGAGGAGATTGAAGAGGAAGCGCCGATAGATGAGATGGAGATCTAAGTAGAAGAAGATCTACAGCTTTCACGATTTTTCACTTGCATTGAGAATTACCTTTCTGATATTTGTGACGGTATTTTGAAGATTCTGGACACTAAGCTTATTCCTCCTGCTAGTAGTGGTGATTCTAAGGTCTTTTATTTGAAGATGATGGGAGATTATCATAGGTATTTGCGGCTGAGTTTAAGATTGGTGCTGAGAGGAAAGAAGCCGTTGAGAGTATTCTCACAGCCTACAAGGCTGCTCAGGTTTAATTAATTTTTTCCTTTTTTTTTTGTTTGGTAGATCTGTTAATTAGGGTTTGGATTTGGTTTTTGTTTGTGATTTTTGCGTTGATTTGCTATGATATTTGCATTTTGCTGGAATCATTGAGGAATATTCAAGAATTTGATAAGCTCTTTATGAGTTTCTACTTCAAGAACAACTCATCTTCTGTGAGTGGCTCTTGTTTTACCATCTTTATAGGCTCCTGGTGCTTCTGTTGTTGATTACAGGAGTTATTATCGCATTCCTCTTGGACATCTGTAGTGTAAAATGTGAAGGATTAGTATCTATTTCTTTTTCGTTAAAACATATAAATTAGTTTTGAAAATCTGTTTTTCTTGATCAGATATTAGGAAGATAATATTTGATGAACTATAGGATGTTTGATAAGCTTGTTTGTTTCTTTCTTTAACCAAGAGCATTGATGGTTGTTCTTGCAATTGTGGTTTAAATGGTGTTTGAACATGGTAATATATATGTGTAAGAATCAAATGGAAAAAAGAATATGGACAGGAAATGAACAGATTTGTTTGGATCAGAAACTCGTAGAGGATACATATCCTCTAGTCTCTGATGGTATATTCCTTTATTGGGGAATTGGAGTCTTTTTTTAAGAATTGCTCTTGAAAATTTTAGGCATGTAATTGCTTACCTTTTTCTGTTATCTGATGCATGATTTGTACTTCACCAGGTATCAATTTTTCCCTTTGATCTTCAATAACTGTTGATACTTTATTATCATCTTGAAACATGCAGGGTAAAGGACATGTTAGTTAAATGGTAGAAGTGTGTCTTTAGAAATTTATTTCTAGAACTCGAGTATGCTAGTTTGCATTATTGCGAGCTCTATCATTCCTGATCTTACCTTGTCAGCTGGAGTTAGTGTAGTAACCTTCTTCAGCCTTTGTGAAGATTTATCTCTGATTGTATGATTTTTGGTGCCTGCCTGTTCAATATCTACATTTTATCGGGATTCCTCATATACAGGTGGCTTGCTCGTATCATGATTTCCTGGTATGCTTTCATTTGCCTCTACTTCTGTCCTTAAAACGTTGATCTTGTCAAGCTTGTTTTGCTTCAGTCTGTATGATGTTGGTCTGTGATGTTGGTATGCTTTTATTGGTTGTTTTGGCATGTTGAAAGCCTATTAGCTCAATTGGTCGAGCACCGTGTAATCACGGGATGTAGGTTCGAATCCTACATGGACTTTTTTAATACTTATTTTTATATTTATTGACCTCTGGGTAAATGGTGTCAAATTGATATAATTACCCGAAGTTCATATATAATTACCTTATTTTCGATATAATGACCTTAGAATTATGGAAATGCTTTAAATTTTGTTTCAATCACCTTATTTCTATATATAGTGATCTTTATTTTTGTATATAGTGACCCTTATGTAAATGGTGTCAAAAACTCAGTCGATATAGTTACTTTATTTTTGTATATAGTGACCTTTATGTAAATGCTGTAAAAATTGTTATAGTTATCCTATTTTTGTATATAGTGACCTCTATGTAAATATGGTCAAAATTGAAATAGTTACCCTATTTTTGTATATAGTGACCTTAATGTAAATATTGTAAAAATTGATATAGCTACCCTATTTTTGTATATAGTTACGTTATTTTTATATATAGTGACTCTATGTAAATATCGTCAATTTAGATGAAGTTACCTTATTTTAAGCATGTAGTGACCTTTTAAACGGTTGAATTGATTATATGTAAGGTTGGAATGATCTTAGGGCTTTAGAACCGTCTGATCTTTTGTGCTAGTAATGAATGGCTAAGATTGCTTGTTTTTAGTTTTCACCATAAGCTCTGTTTTTAGCGGAACCTCCCCGTATATATATATATATATAAACATATATTTTTGAACGGGTAAATTTATATTTATTCATGTCTCAAGTGCTATGTAATTGTTGTACAATATCTTAAATTTAACGAGAAACTCGGTTATGGAATTACAATATTACAAATAAATTTGTTTATAAATTTTACAATTTTTAAATGAAAATTTAGGAGGGAAAATTACCTCCATAATCAATAAAGCATTTAACTTGGTTAAATTTTTATTTTGTGGGAAAACTACCTCCATAATCAATAAAGCATTTAACTTGGTTAAAATTTTGTGGGAAAATTCATCCTTCCGGAAGTAATTTTGGCGGATAAACTCCCTCCAACTCCTCTAAGTACATGTAAATGAAATTAAAAAAATGAAAAGAAAAAGATGTGAAAAATCGAACTAAAACACTAAAACTTCTCTAATGGGAAATCACCCTTCACTTATGCTCCATACTCCGTACTCCATACTCCATACTCCATTTCTACCCTACTCTATTCTCAACTGAAGTGGGAAATTTATAATTCATAGGTAATTTCCTTCTCTCCAAGATCTGAAATTTAATACTTCTCTAAAGTTAGGTTTTTTCAAATCAATTTGTGGTTTCTATTGGTTTAATTTTTTTTTTCCTTTTTTTATATGAGTTGTTTCGGGTGAAAACAATGGGACCTTGTCGAAGGTCCGATGAAGTGGAGAAGACTAGATTCGATCCAAGTAATGTTGGGCCGAAGGTTTCCTGCACAGTATACACATGTAAACTAGGCTCGGGGGTGTTGCCGAGGAAGGCCCCTCCGATGCTAAAGTCAGTACAGTGTGTAGAAAGAGAACACTATGCAAGAGAATTAATTGCTTGAGGCTTTGCTTGAATGAATTTACAAATGTAATATTGATGGCTTTTATACCTTTGCATACATGGAGAAGTTGGGCCTTAGCCCAATTGGCTTGCCTTGAGGACTGATCTTTGACTCTAGCACAATTGGAGAGATGAACCTTGACCTTCGGCTTTTAATTGGATCATTTAATGGCTAGGCCCAATTGGACTAAATTGGACCCAAACAACTTGCCCCCCAGACCCGATTTGGAAGGATGACGGGTCGGGTTTGATTTAATCAGAAAAGGAGGGAAGTGAATGATTTAATTAATCCAAAAATTTGAATTTAAACCGTAATTAAACCGTAATTAATGAGATAACAACAGTTAAGGCGGATAATTGTGGAAGTTGGACGGATAATGGGCAGTTTAATCGCAAGGTCGTGTGTTTAACGGTTACTTTGTGGGGTATTCAAGAGAAATTGAAACGCGGACTCCCCGTATTCCCATTTCTGGAGATATAATTAGAGGCGCGTCATCTCTCCTCACTTATTCACCAACACAAACCCAGAATTCTCGAGAGAACCCAAGAACCCGCATCAAAACTTCGCAAATTCCCCGAGCATTAAGCTTAGAAACTGAGACTCGCCACTACCAATTCGTAAATCGGCAACTTTCGCTTCAGATTAAGGTAAATTCCTTTGATTTTAGTTTATTTTTCTTCGAATTTGAACTCCTTCCCTTTTTTTCGACTTTTTTCTTCGAAATTATCAATGGCGAGAGGAGTTAGGGGTAGAGCCCGTGCTCCAAGAAGAGCAAGGCCAATTCCCGATCCCAGGAACAGGATTGGGACCTGGAATGGACAAAGAGCAGAGTCTGACCCTGCTGAAGGGATTAGGGCGACTCCAATTTCCTCGGCTCCTCCTCAGAGAACGGAGGGGCCGAGCGCTTCTGGGCGGGACGATGAAGTTCCCGCTGTCCTTTGGGATATCCTTCCCGGGTTTTCAGAGTGAGAGGATGTCGAAGTAGCTTCGGCCATAATAAAGAACCGCCCCTACTCATGGTGGGTGGAGAATGCCGAACAATATCGGTTTGCCGAACAAATTGAGTTGCATTACGACATCCTTGAAGCTGATGGGTATTGGTGCCGAATGCCCGTGGCATCCGATAAAATCCATCGTCCACCCCCGGGGTATGTGGGGGTGTACACAAGACAACTTTAGTATGGGCTGAGGTTCCCTTTGGACGTATTCGTCCGAGACTTGCTGATCCATTACAATATTTCCCTATGTCAGCTAACTCCTACTAGCATCCGAAGGGTGATGACATACTTATGGGTCTGCAAGTTCTTCAGGTATGTGCCGAACCTGCACTGCTTCAAAAAGCTTCATCGGCTAGTGCCAAATATTCAAAGTGGGCACGGAAGTCATGGTTCTGGGTGGTACCGGATCGAGTCTCGGCCCCAGTACCTAACCATGTGGCCGAACGACTCTTCAAACAAGGACTGGAGAGGTCAATGGATTTGGGTTAGGGCACCCACGGACACGGGCCACCCTTGCGTCTTCAGCGCTCCCAGGTATCTTGCCGAGCCTGATCCCGACATGGGAAGTTTAGGTCCCCCCGCAGATAACGGCCCAGATCCAAACCTTAATCAACAGAATATCTTCGGCAAGCTGCCGAACCGGGGGGGGCAGCGGCCGAATGCAGCATATCCCGGAGACTTGGCTCCCCGATACGCATTATGTTTTCCAAGAGAACATGCTAGCAGCTGTCGGCCTCAGCCGAAAGTTTAAGGATGGTAAGCTTCTTCGGCTGGGGCCGAGGCTTTTTAATTATCTCTTTTTCTCCTCTCACTTCGCTTTTTTATGCTGTGCCAACCTAACTGAACTGACCTTTCCCCTTTTCTTTTTCAGAGCGGGACGAGACCAACGTCGGCATTAACTACGCTCGTCTTGGCGTCAACGGAGAACGAGTTGTAACTGATCGGGCCCCCTCTATCACTGAACCGCGGCATAGAGAAGTTCATCTAGACTCTTCCCACTTCCAAATTGAGGCTGTTGCTCTGTATCAGAGGCAGGAGCCTTGGTGGAAGAAGAGAGATCCCTGGTTTCAGCTGCTTGACGAAGAAGCTGAAGCTGCCCGTACGGCCGAAGAGGTTGCACGGGTTATTGAAGCTTGTGAAGGAGGAGAAGGGTCCTCCAGGGCTGCTGAAGAAGAAGCTGCAGCTAGGGCAGCTGAAGAAGACGAGGCTTTGCTGAAGACCTCGGTGAGCTTTCAAACTTAATTTTATCTGTTTCTGTTTGTTGTTTTGTTGTTTTGTTTTTTTTATTTACTCACATTCTTCCTCCCCCCCTGTATTTTACAGTCTGAAGAGAGTAATAGACACAGAGAAGGGAAAGCCCTTGTTCGTCCCGAAGACCAGATACAAGAAGAGTCCTCAGACTCAGACATGGACGAGCAGCCGCTTCAGAAAAGGCGCCAAAGAATGGCCATCATCGGCCCCCATGACTTTCATCGGAGGCCGATGACCATCGGCGTCGAAATAAGGGAACCCGAGGAAGGCAATGGATTGCCGAGGGTTCCCCGGCCACCACCTCAATCACCTCCAAAGACCCCTCCGCCACCTCCCGAGATGGAGGTGGATCAGAAAACTCCCGAACCTAAGGGAGGGGTCCAAGAAGAAGTTCAAGAGAGTGCTGCTGAGCACAAGAATGAGGATGCCGTGATGCCCAGTGCTGAGGGTTTCACGGCAGACATTGCAAGAGAGGTTGAGGCCTTCGTCCTCACCCCTGAAGAAGAAGAGGTCATAATAATTGACTCTTCTGAGAAGGAGGATGCTGAGCCATCCAAAGTTAAAGAAGCTCCATCGTCATCCTTTCCTTCCTTCCAGACTCTACAATCTGGAGAAATGGGTTTCTCGGCCCCCCGAATTCCAATCCCAGATCACATCTGGGACCTCATATGGGGTCAGAACCGAGAAGGTGATGCAGCCTACTTCGGCGATTTTGCTGGCATATCCGAAGTAGATAGGGCAAGAATCTGGTCGCTGAAGGCCACTGCTGGGATGGGCGAATCCAGCAGATCAGTTCCTGACCCAGCCAGGTCTAACCAACTACTGATGATGCAGGTGATTTTCCTTGCCTTTATCTCCTTTAAAATTCAGCTCTTTACTTATCATTATTATTATTATTTTTTATTTTAACTTGTGCTCCTGTTTTCAGTTCGTGCACAATCAGACTCTCACTGTAGAGCTGATAGATACCCTACAAGATAGGGTAGACGCTGCCGAGCACGACAAAAAGGTAGCCGAAGAGGAGTTAAAGCTTGCTAAGCTGAAGCAAGCAGCAGCTGAAGAGAAGCAGCAGAAGGGTGAAGAATATGAGAAAAAAGCTGCTGAAGCCCTCAAAACCTTCTGCGATGCTATGGAGAAGGAAGTTTTTCCCCCACTGATGGAAGGGGAAAAATTCCTCCAAGAGCACATGGGAGTGGACATCTCCAAATTCAAGGCTACCATTGAGAGCCGAATCCAGGAAGGAGCTGCTGCACAAGCTGAAATGCAGCAACAGCTAGAAGCTCTTGAAGCCAGCAGAATGGCTACTGAAGAGATGCTCCAAGTTAGGGATGTCCAACTCTCAGAGGCTGCTGCTGCTGCTGAAGCTCAGAGAGCTAAGCTCCAAGAAGCTGAGGATCAGCTGATGGCCAAAAAGGAAGAAGTGGCCCAGGCTCAGACAGAGGCTTCCCAAGTTCAGCAGGAGCTGAATGAGCTGAAAGGTTCCTCCTTCAAGCTCGCCGATGAGCTGAAGAAATCCAAGGAAGACTTGGAGGAGACCCAGAAGAAGTTGGCTGATGATGAGGCTCTACTCAAGGTCCGTGTCTATACCCAGGAAGAATATGAAATGGGTTTCAGAAACGGGTTCAGAGTGTGCCGAAGAGTTTGCCTTCATGCTGAGCCGAAGTTGGACTGGTCCAAATGTGCTGAATGGGTCCAGGATCCCGAAGACCCTCATATAAAGTATGCAACTCCAGTCGAAGCTGAAATCCTTAAGGCTGAGGAAGCCGAAGAAGAAGCTGAGAGAATGGAGTTGGAGGCTGAACAGAGGGAAAGGGAGGCTCGGCAGAGTGCAAAGCCTGCTTCTTCTGCTGCTGGGGCTGAGACCACCATGGGGCCCAACAATGCTGACCAGTCTGATCCTCGGGCTGAAGCATAGGAACTCGGGCAGTCGTCTTCAGAATCTTGCGGTTCATCATGCGCTCAACTTTAGACTTGCCGCTTTCTGAATTTTTGCCTTGTTTGTTTTTTGCTTCAGCTTGCCTTGTCGTACAAAACAGTTTATTTTTTTGCTTCTGTACGTATTTCGGCAGCTGTTATTTTCCGCTTGTGGGCGGCTGCCGATATAGTTTCTTAACTTATTTGAACTTGTAGCTCAATTTCTGAGCATAAATTATTAATTTGATGTTCTTTTCTTCAGCTGCTTTGTTTTTGAGTGCTTTACTGTTTCTTCAATTCTGCTGAACATAAACTTGCACTGGTAGTGCTTCTTGCCCCCCCCCCCCAGAAATTGAAGTATGGCTTCAGCTGAATAAACAATTTCTTTATTTCTTAAAAATGGGTATTCGAAACACAGGGCCAACTGAAGGCAATGCTTCGTATAATGGCTTTCTGGGATACAAGGCTCAGTTAAGGCAATACCCAGAATTGTCCATGGACTCATGCCTTTTGA